ACCCATGAATACATTAAGTAATACTCTGGCCTCGATTCGACTCATTTTGGAAGGAAATTTGCATCTTTAAGTACATTTTTGCTTCTTCATTGCACTTTACATGATCAATAAAGTTGTATCTCATGATAATATGTTGTACAATAGCAGATTTGTGCTGAAAAACCGCAGAAAAAATGAAATCAAAGCACTTGACCTAGATCTAGATCCAGATTATTTCGTTCTCAGGAGGGCTAAAAATAGACCAGGTTAGACCAAGAATCTAGCTATGGACGTGTCTAGATCTACGTTTGGTAACAGTAGGCACAATCACATCGCTACAGGCAGTCAGGAAACACCTCGGCATGGGGTCAAATTCCCAATGTTTCTCGGGTGCCTCGAAAATACGTTGTTTTCTAGTACTCTGTTACACTTTGAACACAGGTCAGAGGCGTTCCATTGAAATACGAAAAGTCACTGGATATAACATGCGATGTAAGGCAGTTTCTTCATTTCTGTGGTTTTTCCAAAAAGAGATTTGAGAACGTGTCTGGCAATTTCTTGTCGTCTACACTTGTTTGGCACTGATTGTGTTTTGTTATTTCCCAACAGTTCATCACAAAGTCCACACAGCTGTGTGCCGCAGGCTCCAGGATCTTTGACTTTTGATGTGAAGTAATTTCTCTTTGAGGCTTGTATGGGTCGTTTCCATATTGCCTTACTGTCTCAGAAAATTAATTCGTCAATCATGTTTCCTGTCTTTCTCCACTTCCGCTCCGCTCTGCGACTCGCCGCCTTTGCTGCCTTCACTACATGTAGAAAACCTTCCAAAGAATCTATGAGAAATTCCTGTACGTGGTGTCAGAGCTGCTTCTGGTGAGGCACGGATCACTACTGTCAGCTTTACAAATCTCTTCCTATAAAAATTCTTTACTAAAGTACATTTTTATTTCAATCTTATGTATGTGTTTTTCAAGCGTTTTTCATTCCTGCACTTTACGGGAAAGTTCTGAAAAAATTTTCGCACAAGAAAAAAAAAGAGCAAACGATACCAGGGTACCCTCCCCCCCCATCCCCCCACACACACACACACAACTGTACCCACCACTCGGGCCTTGTTGATGATGTCATCATCCACACACACACACACACACACACACACACACACACACACACACATCCACAACTGTACCCAACACATTTGGTGGGGGTGTATTGTCATCATCCACACACACACACACACACACACACACACACACACACACACACATCCACAACTGTACCCACCACTCGGGCCTTGTTGATGATGTCATCATCCACACACACACACACACACACACACACACACACACACACACACACACACATCCACAACTGTACCCACCACTCGGGCCTTGTTGATGATGTCATCATCCTCCTTAGGCCTGGGAAAAGCGGGAGGTTTTTTCTTGACCAGTTCCGTCCTGTTCTTCTCCATCACCTGTTTGGCGTACTCGTTCTGTCGGCTCACCTTCTCTTTCTGTCCGAGGGAGGGAGGGAGGGAGTGAGGGAGGGAGGGATGGAAGGGAGGGAGGGAGGGAGGGAGGGAGGGAGGGAGGGATGGAGGGATGGAGGGGAGGGAGGGAGGGAGGGAGGGAGGGAGGGAGGGAGCGGAGGGAGGGAGGGAGGGGAGGGGAGTGAAGGAGGGATGGAAGGAGGGAAGGACGGAGGGAGGGGACGGAAGAAATAGAGATTGTCATAGAATTCTAGAGGAAAGTGAGGCATCCTGGTGAAATCAAAATAATGAAATCAAAGAAATTTTTTGGGCCGACGGTCGGTTTCTTTCTTTTCTTTTGGCTCAACACTTTTTATGTCCATCTAAAAACACATTTTTGTGTGGATTTTCTTACAAACATTGATTAAAGGTACAAAAAAAGTAAATGTTCAGTTTCCACGGACTCTCAGGCGATGGCAATGGAAGTCGTCAAACTGTGGCGGCCATTTTCTCGCTAACTTTACCTCGGAAACCAGGCGACCCTGCCCTCCTTCCATCGGAAATATTTCGACTTCTGTACAACAGAGATGGACATTTATTTTATCAAAAGTAAGGCAAATGAACAGGCTTTAAGGTGATACCAATAACCCCATATGCCCGAAAATTGACGAGCGCCTGATTCCACCGCGTCGTGACACAAGTTGTTTTTGTTGTTTTCAAATCCCTTTAGCTGCGAGCATTTCGCTCTTGGCAGCACAATGCCTCCCTCAAGTAACCACATGTCCTTGTCATCTGGATAGCGCCAGAGTAGAGCAGGTTTTGTAAGTCTGTAGGTGTGTGTAGGAGCCTGCGTCGAAGAACTGCCAGGTTTGGGCAGTGAAGGAGAAGATGTTCAACGGTCTCCTCGTGGTAGTCACAGTGTCTGCAATGGGGTTCCCACATGGGGTTAATTCTGTTTATGTGCTTGTTGGTGTGTAAGTGTCCTGTGCGGGCTCTGAAGATCAAAGTCTGATCGGCTCTACATAAGAGATTCGATGGGTCTTTAGGGTTGGGTTTGTCCATGTACCCGAAGAGAGATCTTCCTGTTTCTGCGTTGGCCCATCTGTTTAGCCACTCGTCTCTGCTTTTGGCTTGGATGATCCCTCTGCAGGTCTGTAAAGAGGCCACTGTGTCTGTCTGGGGCAGGCTTGCTCCAGTCTTTGATAGATGGTCTGCAGTCTCATTCCCTGGTACTCCAGAATGGCCAGGCACCCACTGCAGTGTGACCCAGACGCCATAGGAAGTGCCCATCTGTTTTACAAGGCTGAGAATGTTCCCGTCCCCTCTGTAGTCTCCTCCTCCCTCGACGGCATGTTCCTGTCACCTCTGTAGTCTCCTCCTCCCTCGACGGCATGTTCCTGTCCCCTCTGTAGTCTCCTCCTCCCTCGACGGCTTGGAGTACTGACATTGAGTCAGAGAAGACAACAACATCCCCCGGTGTTACTGGGCCTTCAAAAAAGTCGTGACACAAATGATAGATTTTGAGGCAGACACTCTCTCTCTCTCTCTCAATCTCTTTTCCGCTTTCACGCACACCTACACACACTCTCTCCCTCTCTCTCTCTCTCACATACACACACACTCTCTCTCTCACACAAGCAAACACACACACACAAACAGTGACACACACACACACACGCACTCACCCTCTCCTTCTTCTCCACAGTATCTAGATCAGGTCCCAGCGTTCCCAGCCTCACTTCCTTCTGCATCTTGCGGTAGTCCTTTAGTCCGTACACCCGGTACCACGGTCTCTCTCCCTGTCTCGCCTTCTCTCTCAGGTACGAGTCCATGTAACTTCCTCCCTGTAGTGTGTGTGTGAGTGTGTGTGTGTGAGTGTGTGTGTGTGTGGGTGTGTGTGTGTGTGTGGGTGTGTGGGGTGTGTGTGTGTGGGTGTGTGTGTGTATGCGTGTGGGTTGTGTGTGTGGGGGGGGGGGGAGGGGGAGAATAATCCTTCGTCAATGATACATATTATGTCACTTCACTTATGTCAGCAAGTTGATTAATTTTTATTGAAATACAGAAACAATACAATGCTGAAACTGTTGCATGTACAAGTCCACAACAAAATACAAATTAAGTAATACATATCAGCTGCTGTGACGTGTTTTTGGTGCTAAATCTAAAAATGACAAAAACGTCATTAAATGGGTCATAAAATCGAAATTAACAAACCTATTTTGATAGGTCTTCATCTAATTCATGAAATCCCGATATAGATACCTGTTTTCAGCAATTGACGAAAAGTAATTTGACGTGGAAGTCGTGGTAAAGGAATGTGCCCGAGCCGCTGTCAGCGAATCACCCACACAGAGAGGTTCCGACCGCGAGCTGCTAGGAGCGACTTGCCAGAGATAAAGAGTTTGTAGACAAGGAGAGTTTTCTCTATAACCAAATAAATATACCCATCAAAGACACCAAACTTCTCCTATAGGTAGGGCAATGTCCACTTTTGGTGTAGGTCAAGTTTTCTGGAAACTCCCGAAATCTGGGTTAGCCCGCTTGTCCTTCAAAGCGACCAATTAGAATGCCGTCTCACCTGATCGGGCGGTGCAGAAGAAGGGTGCTCGCCTTCGCTGGAGCGGGGTATGGGTGGAACCTTCCCGTACGGGTTCATGTCTGTGCGAGAGTCGCTGAGGGCACGGAGAGCTTCGTCGGCCGAGTACCGGTCACGTGGGGAGACGTACTGGATGTCGGCGCGGTCAAGGTCGCTGCTGGGGTGGTAGTCCTGGGGAGGGAGGGAAGGACGTTTAGTTTTACGGCACTTGCAACACAATAAGGTCATATGAGTGACGAAGATTAGAGGTGTTACAAGAGAGTAACAAACATAAAAAAGAAGGAGGAGAGATAAAGACGATAGATATTTGATAGGAAAGAAGGAGCAAACCCCACCAAAGCACCCACCAACCACCCACTGGATGGAAGTAGATAATCTCGGGGAAAGGTGGATAGACAGAAGGATGGAGGGGTGGAGGGGTGAAAGGAGGGATGGATGGTTAGAAGAATGGAGGAAGGAAGAAGTGGAAGGCGGGATAGGAGGAAGGATGAAGGATAAATAGAGAGACAGACAGACATTAGTTTTTTAGTTCTAGTAGAGGTTTTACGGCGCTCGCAACTGCATAAGGTCATATGAGCGTCAGAAAATTAGAGGTGTTACAAGAGAGTAAGAAACATAAAAAAGAAGGAGGGGGAGATAAGGACGATAGATGTTTGATAGGAAAGAAGGAGCAAACCACATCAGAGCGCCCGCCAACCACCCACAGACAGACAGACAGACAGACAGACAGACAGACAGATAGATAGACAGATACAGCACACTAAAGGACCATAATTCTTTCCACGGCGCACCGGCAGTGGAATTTTAGTCGCCGCGGGGGGTTCCCCGCCGGGCGCCTTATCACGTCGGGGTCACGGGGGTCAGCTCCCTGTCGCCGCTCTGTCTGGGCCGACTTAATTTTTGGTACTTTTCAACGTACAATTTAACGTGCATCCTTGTATTTATGGTAATTCTCACTTAGTGCACCCAAAGCACGCATTTCTGCTCTTGAGACTCAAAAAAGAACGGACGTTGTAACTT